GCTGCCGGGTCCCCATTCAGCCAAGGGAAATAGGGTCACCTTATATCTACCTATCTAGAGCGATTGGGTGTGTGGCTGCATTGGTGAACATTTGAAAAGAAGGAGATGCCAGATGCCTTGGCAACCTTAACTCTACCCTGGTAACCTTAACTCTGCCCCTTGTGCAGCCATCTAGTTCACTCCAAAAAAGCAAGGATTGTGTGGGAGAAAATGGTGCAGCTACATTCATTCCCACCTTGCATCCACATCTCCATGCTAACTTGGCTTCAGCCAGCATGTTGCCAATAGCACAGGAACTATGCTACCACAGGCGAGGGCAAACAGCAGGAGGAGCTAAATGACCCCAAATATTTGGAGTCTGAGTAGGATTGTACAGTTGGTGACTAGCCTCCTGCCCAGGCTACTGCAGTGATGCTGTTATTTTAGAGCTAGTGTGGGGATGTCTATGTGAGCTGAGATTTGCACCCCAAGCTCCAAGTGTGGTTCCTGTGAGGCAACAGGGTGCCCTTGCAGCCAACAGGGCTAACCATGAATTAGTAGGAGCATCGCCAGCTCCTACATTGCCCAGGGAGGTTGTGGAATCTCCATCTCTGGAGATATTGAAGAGCAGGTTGGACAGACGCCTGTCAGGGATGGGCTAGACCAGTGCTTCTTAAACTTTTTAAGACAAGGAACACCACGGATTTCTTTGTTGAGCAAAAAAAAAAAAAAAAAGTTCACCTGCCCCTTTAAGGGCAGCCATTTTGAACTCTGTTATTTTGAACACAATTTAAGAAACACTGGTCTAGATGATGCTTGGTCCTGCCATGAGGACGGGGGACTGGACTTGATGACTCTCGCAGTCACTGCTAGTTCTAGTGTGCTATGGTTCTATGATCTCCTTAAAGACCAGCCACTCAAATTCACTCAGCCTAGTATTTGGACCACTCGAATTTTGATACAAGCACTTAAGGGTGGGTCAATATTTAGTTGTCTGCCGGATGGGACCCTTTCATTTGACTGTTTCCCTTTCAGCTCTTACCACGACTTTATCAGCATCTCGCCTCTCTTCATCACTAGAGTACCGAGACGCCCCGTTAATTAACCCTCTACTACGAGACGTCTCTGTCCAAACTGTCTGCTCCAAAGGACCCGTCCACATTCCCCCAACCTCTCGCTCAACAGCTCCTCTGTGATCTTTTGCATTTTAATTTCCCTTTGCAAACATTTTAGTTCATAGACTTTAAGGCCAAAAAGGACCATTAGGGTCCTTGCCTAACCTCCTGTAGCTCACCACCAGACGTTACCTACCCACTCTTGTAATAGACCCATGATTTACACGTGTCCTGATTGAACGGCTTAAAATGACTGAGACTAACAGAGAATCTGCTACTTGCTCTAGTTTAAACAAGCCGCCCCACAGTACACGAGAGAGCCAAAAAAACCCAGAGTCTCTGCCAATTTGATCGGGAGAGAAATTTTTCCTGCACCAGGTACAATGATATTTTTGCCCCTTTCTCCGCTGTTCCAATATCTCTCGTGTTGCTGCTGTTGGTCCAAAAATCAGGAGTCATCTCCTATGGCAACCAGAATGAAAAGCAAAGTTGGAGAGACTGAGAAAGGCATGGAAAAAAGGAGAAGAAAGGAAGCTAGGAAGGAAGGAAGGAGGAATGCTGATTTCCAAGCCTAAGAACTCTCTGAGATTTTCCCTCTGCAGATAAAGACACGGGAATTGTTATAAGCTCTTTGTTCTATATCATACCTGAGTACACGGGAATGCCGCTTCAAGCTGAAATAGAAAAACGGTGTAGGACGAAGTCCGCTGGGGGGAAATTTCAGAGATGAGTAAACTGCTTGCTCCGCAAACCTTGATGGCCATGGAGGTGAGACAGGTTTTTATTAGTCACACCCACATTGTGAGCAGAGAAATTTCCTTCCATCTGACACTTCTTCTGGGACCGAATCGTGGCCTCACTGGAGAATTTCCAGCTGGAAAGCAAACAAGACCAACATTTCCTGGAAAGATGGAGTCTACCAATTTGGGAGGACAAGAACTGATGGAAAAGCATGAAGAATGGCAAATATTTTGCTACTATTTTTCACTCGCCAACCTTGTCAATTTCATTAACCAAAAGTTCCTTTTTTTAAAAAGTAAGAAACACCTCTATCTGCACTGATTAGCCTCAGTGAGGGTGTGTCTACACTGCACCGTTATTTCGAGAGAACTAGCGTTATTTAAAAATAACAATGCGCGTGTCTACACGACCATTCCATTATTTCGAAATTATTTCGAAATAACCGACGGCTTATTCCCAAATCTGTAAACCTCATTCTACGAGGAATAACGCCTATTCTGAAATCCCTATTTCGAAATAAGGCATGTGTAGATGCTCCATCGCTGATATTTTGGAATAACTCCTCATCAGGGCCATTCTAAGTTCTTCCTCCCCAGTGCTGCCTGGGCGTCTACATTAGGTAAGCTGGCCTCAGAATAATTTTGAGGCTTCCCTGCAACGTAGATGTGGTATTTTGGAATAACTATTCTGGAATAGCTTATTTCAAAATAGCTGTGCAGTGTTGATGTACCCTTACAGTATTCTGTCCAGTTCTGGACACCATGTTTCAGGAAAGAGGTGGAGACATTGGAGAAGGTCCAGAAAAGCAACAAAAATTATTAAAGGTTTAGAAGAAATGAGTTGTGAGGGAAGACTGAAAGAACTGGGCTTGTTTAGTTTGGAAAGGAGAAGACTGAGAGGGAACGTGATAGCAGCTTTCAAGTACCTGAAAGGCTATTACAAGGAGGAGGGAGAAAAATTGCTCTTGGTGACCTCTGAGGATGGGAAAAGCAGCAATGGGCTTAAATTGCAAGGGAGGTTTCGGTTGGACATTAGGAAAAACTTCCTAACTATTGGGGTAGTTAAGCACTGGAATAAATTGCCCAGGGAGGTTGTGGAATCTCCATCACTGGAGATATTGAAGAGCAGGTTGGACAGACACTTGTCAGGGATGCTCTAGATGGTGCTTGGTCCTGCTGTGAGGGCAGGGGATGGGACTAGATGACCTCTGAGGTCCCTTCCAGTTCTAATGTTCTTTGATCCTATTCTAGTAGCGGTTGCGGATGGAAGGGGCATGAGGTGAGAAAGAAGCTATCAGGTCGCATGACAATCAATGACTTTCAGTGGGCATTTGCCATACAAGATAACCGATGGATGAGCATCTGAAGAGAACTGACTAGGAGTAAATCTGGCTCTGACGTTCGGGGCTCACAGCGTATTTCCATGGCTATTTCGGCAATGGAAGAGGCAGATACGCCCTTCCACTTCGCTGCACGTCGGCCTCTCTGGACTCCAGACCTTCTTCCCTATTGAACAAACCATTCTGCATTCTAACTCTGTCCTCCCACGTTCCTGGAGCCTCCTCTCTCGATGCCAGCTGCAAATTGGAAGGTCACTCCTTCTAAGTCAGTAGTAGAAACACTGTAGGCCAGACCCCTGTGCGACTCTCCAGGAGTCGTCCGGCCAGGCTGACCGTGATTCTCTGACAAACTGTGAAGAACAGGACTGTAATAGGGCTCAAAAAAGAGCTAGATAGATTCATGGAGGTTGGGACCATCAATGGCTGTTAGCCAAGATGGGCAGGGATGGGGTCCCCGGCCTCTGTTTGTCAGAGGCTGGGAATGGGTGACGGGGAGGGATCTTCACCCATTGTGAGTGGTGTGGAGAGGGTGAATAAAGAAAAGTTATTTATTAGTTCCCATAACAGAAGAACTAGAGGACACCAAATGAAATTAATGGGCAGCAGGTTTAAAACTAATAAAAGAAAGTTCTTCTTCACACAGCACATAGTCAGCCTATGGAACTCCTTGCCACAAGAGGCTGAGAAGGCTAGAATTATAACAGAGTTTAAAGGGAAGCTAGATACATTCATGGAGGTTAGGTCCATAAAAGGCTATTAGCCAGGGGATAAAATGGTGTCCCTGGCCTCTGTTCGTCAGAGGCTGGAGAGGGATGGCAGGGGACAAATCACTTGATCATTGTCTCCGTTCCACCCCATCCGGGGCAGCTGGCACTGGCCACTGTCAGCAGACAGGCTACTGGGCTAGATGGACCTTTGGTCTGACCCAGTCTGGCAGTTCTTAAGTATTCTTTGAAAACTAACTTTCAACCAGTTATGCTCACATCTTACAGTCATTCCCTGTGGTCCCTAGTCCATGGTTTGGGGATGTGGCCACCAAGAAAGACTGTGTCAAATACCTTAATGAAGACAGAATATTTCACATCTACTGTGTCCCCTCCACTAAGCCAGGAACTTCATCAAAGAAGGAAATGAGCTTGCTTTGACACTGAGGTGGTGCCGGGTCAGAATGTAAAGGTTTCACCCCACCCCCCTCCCGAAAACTCTTCCCCAATGTGTTGCCAATGGCTTCTTGTTCTTGACCATCCGTGCTGGCTCTAACCTCAATTTGATGACTATTATAATTATAGAGAAAATAAATCGAAGAATTTCACATCCAAACTTTAATTTCTGGAATTACATAAACAGGGCATCCATTTAACCTTAACTCTGCCCTATTACAGAGTTTTCCAACTTCCCAGAGAGTCAAAGCTGAGTGAAATATTATGCATGGGTACCATTTGAACAATTGTGTTTATTTTATGTCATTAACAATCATTCTCCCTTGGTCTCCCCCACATTATGTCTTTAACTCCAAGTTACTCCAACAGCGGACAGTAAAATGAAGTTAAGGTTAACAGTATATGTCAGTAACGTAGGAATAAACATATTACAAAGACGTTATAATTTCTCCCCAAAGGATCAGAGGGTAATCACCATTATAATGAAACAAAATCCAAATATTTAACAAGAAATGGCATTTGTGTTCCTACGTAATCTTATTTCTGCCCTGCAGTGACACCAATAAGGAAAAAGTAGGTGAAAAAAGTAAAGTCATATTGTGTTTAAATAAATCTCTGTGTCCACAAACATTAAAATATTTTAGTTGTTTTTCCCCTTCTTTTAATTCATGTCCTTTTAGGGAAGAGTTTTCGCTTTAGGACTTTTTTGAGTGCTGATTTCACCTCCTCGTTCCTCAGAGTGTAGATCAGAGGGTTGAGGACGGGCGTGACGATGCTGTACATGAGGGTGGGGATCATGTCTCTTTCGGAGGGGAAACCCGGCGAGGAAATCATGTAGTTGCCAAGGACTGGCACGTAGAACAGAGACACCACGGTGAGGTGGGAGGTACAGGTGGAAAAGGCCTTTCTCCGGCTTTCCCGTGACTGGACCTTCACGAGGAGGAAGGAGATGATGCAGAGGTAGGAGAGAAGCGTGAGGAGGAAGGAGCTCAGGCCGAGGACCGCGGCATCCACGTTGAGCAGGGCTAGGTTGAGGTGGGTGCTGCCGCAGGCCAGGCTGAGCAGGGGTTTGATGTCGCAGAAGAAGTGGTGGACGCGGTTGGAGCTGCAGAAGCGCAGCCGGGAGGCCATGACCGTGGTCATCAAGGCATGGAGAAAACCAGTGGCCCAGCTGGCCGCGGCCAGGAGCAGGCAGGCCCGCGGGCTCATGACCACTGTGTAGCGCAGCGGGTTGCAGATGGCCACGTAGCGGTCGTAGGCCATGACGGCCAACAGGATGGCCTCGCTGCTGCCCAGGAGGTGGAAGAAGTAGAGTTGGACCAGGCAGCCGGCCAAGGAGATGGCCTGATGCTGGGAGAGGAAGCCAGCCAGCATCTTGGGCACAGTCACGGTGGAGGAGCAGATGTCCAGGCTGGAGAGGTTGCCCAGGAAGAAGTACATGGGGGTGTGGAGCCGGGGCTCGGCTAAGACCACCGCTATGATGGCCCCGTTCCCCAGCAGACTGGTTGTGTAGAGCAGGAGGAAGAGAGGGAAGAGGAAGTACTGTAGCTCCAGGACATTGGTCAGGCCAAGGAGAACAAACTCCCGCACCTCTGTCTGGTTCTCCATCGCGGGGGGCTGGAACGGAGAGAGACACAAGAATCGTTCCAATTCGTATTCCAACACGCACTTTCTACCCACAGTCTCAGTGGATCTGGCGGTTATTACGTCCCCTCCCAGTGTTGTGATGAGTTCGTATTTCCTTCCACAGGCAGGGAAGGGCGGCAGAGAGAAGCCAGGTATTAGACACACGTCTCCATTGATTTTTTGAGTGTAAAGTTACGCACTTGAAAGTAAGGACATGTCAGAACAACTGCTACTCCCCATGCAACCGCCTCCCCTTCTGCATCCATCCCATGCCCCGAGGAAGGCAAGAAAACAGTATCTGTCAATGGCATGAAATCCTGTAATATCACGCGTAGGACCAAAGGGGCTGAATGCAATAGCAACTATACACCTGGCATGTCCTAACCACCTACGGTGGAGGAGACTTTGACGCCTAATTGACACTTCTGTACGTAGGTTGGAACTTTTTTTTGGCATGAATTCTATGATGTGCCGCTCTAATGAAGATATGAAAGACACGCAAACTTTCATTTCTGGAATTACATAAACAAGGACTCTATTTCGCCTTAACTCTGCCTCACACCGAATTTTCCCACTGCCCAGAGAGTCAAAGCTCCATGAAATATTATGAATAAGGAGATGGTGGAGGCCAGGACTTTAACAGGGTTCAAAAAAGAGCTAGATACATTCAGGAAGGAGAGGTCCACCTATGGCTATTAGTCACGATGGGTAGAGAGGTTCTGGTCGCTCTCTTTGGGGTACCTGGCATTGGCCACTGTGGACAGACAGGACGTTGGACTGGATGGACCATTGGTCTGACCCAATGTTCTGATGATTTGAGTAATTGTATTGATTTTCTGTGATTATTGATCATTTGCCTTTGGCTCTCCCGATTGTGTTTCTAACTCAAAGAGTCTCCAACAGCAGATACACAGATCCAATGGAGTTCTGGCTTAGCCTTGTGTTCTGCAGCCAAGACTCCTGCTGCTTGGTCAGTAGCTGGTGTCAGGAGAAGACTCTAACGGAAGAGGACGGGGCATGCGGGATGAGGCCTGGGGCAGGGGCATAGAGACAGCTGGGGAAAGACCAGAGCGATTCTCTTTCTTCCTGCCCTTCCACCCCCAATGCTCAGGCAGCAAGAAGAAAGTCCATTACCTCAGGCACCGCTGCTTCCAAAATCCAGAAACCCGCTCATATCGTCTGCGCACCATGCGGCTGATTATCGAACGAAACCGAGAAACCGGATGGAGCGAGAGAGGAGTGGAAAAAAAAGAACTCTCCCGAAGAACGATACGACAGGGAAGGAAGACGGAGAATTGCAGCGTCTGAGTGCACGCTGCTGTTTTGCTTCTCTGGAGAAAGAAGAGTGGGATTGTTATAAGCTCTTCAGTCCCGTCACGTACCCAAGTCAACTGGATTCCTCTTGAAGAAAAAAATATAACAACAAGGAGGGTTGAAATGTGAAAATTAAAAGCGGCTCAGACTCTGCACAGAAAGCTTATGTGACCAAGCCTCCTTTTTATCATCGGCACGGTCTGAAGTGCCACCTTCCCAGCCGGGAAATTGCTCCCCTCCGGCAGCTCTTCTGGGACCCCGTTCTCGAGTCAGCAGAGGATTGGGTGTTTTGAAAACAAAACAAGACCGGTTCTTGCTGGAGACACTGGAGATCGGCAATAGCGTGAGGACCGGAGTCGGTTGAAACACAGAAAGAAGAGCAACTGATTTGCAAATAATTTCATGAGCGGAATTAGCCCCAATTTCTCTACCCAGCATTTGAGCCCTGCTGTTATTGGGGGTGAGAGATTGGGAAATGCCCCCTGCTCCTATTAAAAGCAAGGGATATGATTGAAAGTATCAAAGTACTGAAGAAATATTAATGCCCAGGTCTTATTAAAATTGCTGACTCCCATTGACAGGTAGATCCACGGGCCTCCTTGAAAATTCCAGATACACTGAGATCGACAGAAACCAGAACTGAGGTCAAAGCACCCGAACAGAACTAAATTTGGTAAACTCCATCTCCAGAGCTCATGGGTTACAACATATTTCCAAAAATATTTAGGCACCTACTGATGCAGCTGAACACCCACTGGGCTTTCCACAAGGTCCTAAGTGAGTTAGGCACCTGGCCCCGTTTGTGCTCACCTAACGTTGGTACCTGGAAACATAATGGAGCAAATGATCAAACCGTCAATTTGGAGGCATCTCGTCTGGATTTGTGGAGGACGAAGTTGTCAGACTGACAGGGTAACATCTCTCTCGGCCGGGATGTCCAGCAACTTCCATGGTCCAGTAGGATCATGGACATCGCTGGACTAGAGTGTCTTGGTGGAGAGTAGAGACAGTGGTCTACCCCGGCAAGGCCTGGAGCCCTGGGACTTTCCCCCCACTCCCTAATTTGGCTATATAATTGCCCTTCTTTGTTTCTCTAGGATCTCACCATCTTCGGACAGCTCTCATAGATAACCACTCATGGTACTGAAACGGCTCCAGTTCGTTCTCGATGTATTCTAGGATGGCGTCCATGAGTCCTTGCCGACTTCTATTATCTAACCTCCTCTTCTGCATTGGATGGAGATCCTTCCCCTTTGTTGCTAACACTAAGGGGATGTCTACACCGCAAAGTTCTTTCACGAGACCAGAGGTGTCCCGAAATAGTGACCCCGCGTCTTTTGTACACGTTCACAATTTCGAAATATAGCGGAAGCGTTATTCCGCCATCCCTGTAAACCTCGTTGGACGAGGAGCGCGGGATGGCCTGACAGAGTGCAGTATTTCGAAATTTGGCGCTGTGTAGAGCG